ACCAAAATGACGTTCAAAGTCAACAATTGTGGCTTAAGATATTATTATAATTTCAACCAATGACAATGCTTTGGAATGAACAGTAGGTAGATGGGGTAATTAGGAAAACTAAAATACTTCAAAATGAATGGTACCCGACGGATTCGCTCTTTTATTATAGTAGAGATATAAAAATTATAGAAGCAATATAAACATTTCCCTACAATTTTTATCCACACGACATGTCGCAACGTGTATTACTCTCATAGGATGTCGACCAATTTTATCAAGTCTAAATGATTTTTATTAAATAAAATATTAAAGCACTTGCAACTTGTATTTTCTTTAATAATTTCTTCGTGATGTGATTGCAAAATTAATGATTGATGATTTTCAAATACTAAACTCAGATTTAAAATGCACCCAAAGGAAAATACTTAAGTTGACTTATTAATATATCGTACAAGGTGACTAAATTTCTACCGCGAATACTTGTTCACTACTTTGATCCATATTAACTTTCAATTTTCCGAGGCTCTCAACATAATAAATTGATCCTACAAATTGGCATGTCAAGTTTACGAATGGTAAACGCTACTGCGAATTTAGGTAATTCATAAGATAAACACGTGCGATCATTTCTAGCACGACCCCTCTATAAATTAATCAATACTTTACTTTGTCCTATCTAACACTTTCGATTGTACTCGTATAATTATTCTCGAATAGATAATGATTGCTATCAAGACAAAGTCCATACCCCAATTGATAGACTAACTAAAATTGCACGCAAGTAGAATGCCAACCAATACTAGCCAGCCTAGGATAAATTGATTGATTAAACACGAGTTGTATCTTGTGCAAGCACCTAACTCATATTTTCACATGTTCAATTGTCCATAATCTTTTATTCAATGAATAGTTTAAATTAAATAATATTTATTAATCGACCAAAATGTCAAGTTACAATGATGTCCATTAGCCACCTATCCCAACAATGGTTGTTCCTTTGATTAAAAAAAGGGACGATATACAAGACGAGGAGTTATCTTCTTCCGTACATGGAAATTTAAAGCTAAGAAAATATTGATTTTAATTAATTAACATAAAAATTATTTAATAACGAAAACATGAATTTTAGTTGAGATTCACCAGTAAGTCATAATTGACTAGTGAATGATTAACAAGTCAGAACTCCGTTTGATTGCAATAGTGGAAAATGGGTGGAAAGAAAATGTTTTACAGGGAAAAGATTTTCCAAGAAAATGTTTTACTGGGAATTGTAATTAATTGTGTTTGATTGATATAATTTTCTACCTGGAAAATGTTGAAAGTTTGGTGTCCGTTTGACTTCATTTTTTTTAATAAAAATTGTCCATTAAAGTGATAATTTTTCTACCAATACATCTAGAATTTGTTCTAATTACCAAAAAGTAAAAATAAAATAAAATTTAAACAATTAGAAAAAATTACAATATTCGTTTGACTTTGTTTCACATAGAAATTGTCAACAAAAATGAAAATTCTTTTTACAATAGTTGATAGAATTGGTTGCCTTTGCTAAAAAAAAAAAAAAAGGTGAAAAATGTTTTCCCAACTAATAGGTGGGAAAACAAAATCAAGTTTTTGTGCATCAAATGATTGTACCTAGAAAAAGGTAGAAAACGTTTTCCATGGAAAAATTTACCTATCGAACAGCTTTTTAAGGATGGAAAAAGAAAATGTTTTCCTTTTCCATGGAAAACTAAGGCTATCAAACGGAGGTACGTTACCGGAATTCCATTATACCTAACTTTATTGTAATGTAACATATAAAATTTAAACAAACAAAGTAACGTAGTAAACCCTCAAAAATAAAAATAAAAAAATTACCAAAACAATTTCCAAGAAAAAAAGGTGAGAATATAGTACTAACTACTAAGCCCTCAAAAAATTCCTAAATATCTTAGATTTGATGGAGAAGTCAATAAGGAAAGGTATTGATTTGTGTTTCTTAAAGTCTTGCACCCAAATAAAATCACTAAGGCCCCGTTTGATTCTCTCTATGTTCTTAGGAAGTTGGAAAAAGCTTTCCATTTTTCACTTTTTGTGGTGTTTGATAGTAAAAATTTTCCTCTGAATTCGTTTTCCTCCCCCACCCCTCCCGCTCCTCTTTTCTTGGTTTTGAAGGAAAATGTTTTCTTTTGGTTTTCATTTTTATCTAATGTGAGATTTTATCACTTAACATGTCAAAATTCGCGTGCTCATTTTTTTAATTTTAATCGGATTGAATTGCTCATTAGAGTTTAATGAGCTCTAATACCATATTAAAACTTAGAATTCCATCTTAAAATGTCAACATTTTTAAGAGGAATAGTCTAAACTCTTATAAATTGATCTATATTTTCATCTTTATTCGACGTGGGATTTTATCCGGCAAACGTTGGAATCTGACAGATTTAAGCACTTTGAGCTCAATCAATTTGCAATAGCAGTACTCAACATATTTTTCGAACAAAAGCTTGGTAACTGTACAAACTTGGTTTTCTAATCAATACTCAAAATAATAAAAGAGAAAGCAGTACAGAAGTTAGTTCAATAAAAATAGTGCTTAACATCGCTTCTGTTCCATTTCTAATGCGACGGACAACAATGGCTAAAGGAGCAGAAAAGTTGTAAACCAATATTCTTGCTGCCAAAGATATGCAGTCATGTGACAATAATCCTCTTGGCAGAAAGAACAAATCTCTTTAATCCTTAAACCATGCTACTAAATCATTGAAATTCTCGTAAGAGCTCCCTCCTTCTCTAACAGTATTTTGAATCTTTGTTTGAAGATCCAATACCCTTTCTTTAAATCTTTCATCACTCAAAAGTTGTTCCAATTTGTTCTTAATTTCTTCGCGTCTGATGATTCCGCTGTCATCTTTGTTGAATCCCAATCCTATCTTTAAATAATCACAAATGTAATTCTGATTAAAAATATGATCCGTGAAATAGGGCCAGCACAACTGGAAAACTCCGCCAATCAAACGGGGCCTAAGTTTGATTCCCTCTATTTTCTTAGAAAGTTGGAAAAAGTTTTCCATTTTTCACCTTTTGTGGTGTTTGATAGTAAAAATTTTCCTCTGAATTCGTTTTCCCTCCCCACCCCTCCTGCTCCTCTTTTCTTGGTTTTGAAGGAAAATATTTTCTTTAGATTTTCATTTTTATTTAATGTGAGATTTTATCACTTAACATGTCGAAATTCGCGTGCTCATTATTTTAATTTTAATCGGATTGAATTGCTTATTAGAGTTTAATGAGCTCTAATACCATATGAAAACCTAGAGTTCCATCTTAAAATGTCAACATTCTTAAGAGGAATAGTCTAAACTCTTATAAATTGATCTATATTTTCATCTTTATTCGACGTGCGATTTTATCCGGCAAACGTTGGAATCTGACAGATTTAAGCACTTTGAGCTCAATCAGTTTGCAATAGCAGTACTCAACATATTTTTCGAACAAAAGCTTGGTAACTGTACAAACTTGGTTTTCTAATCAATACTCGAAATAATAAAAGAGAAAGCAGTACAGAAGTTAGTTCAATAAAAATAGTGCTTAACATCGCTTCTGTTCCATTTCTAATGCGATGGACAACAATGGCTAAAGGAGCAGAAAAGTTGTAAACCAATATTCTTGCTGCCAAAGATATGTAGTCATGTGACAATAATCCTCTTGGCAGAAAGAACAAATCTCTTTAATCCTTAAACCATGCTACTAAATTATTGAAATTCTCGTAAGAGCTCCCTCCTTCTCTAACAGTATTTTGAATCTTTGTTTGAAGATCCAATACCCTTTCTTTAAATCTTTCATCACTCAAAAGTTGTTCCAATTTGTTCTTAATTTCTTCGCGTCCGATGATTCCGCTGTCATCTTTGTTGAATCCCAATCCTATCTTCAAATAATCACAAATGTAGTTCTGATTAAAAATCTGATCCGTGAAATAGGGCCAGCACAAAAAAGGGATTCCATTGCTTATGCCTTCAATTGTAGAATTCCAACCACAATGGCTGATGAAACAGGCAACAGAGGGATGAGACAGTACTTTTTGCTGTGGTGCCCAACTGACCATCCGCCCCCGATGATGCACTCTTTCGTTGAAACCCGTGGGATATGCGTTGTTGATGTCTTCAATCATTTTTTCCCGCACAACCCACAAGAATGGCCTATTGGTGAGTTCAAGGCCAATAGCCAGTTCCTGGAATTGATTCTGATCAAATATTGTGAAACTCCCAAATGCAACATAAATGACAGAATTAGGTGGTTGTTGATCAAGCCACGCCAGACAACCTGTTGAAGAAAAAATTCAAATAACAAAATTCGCCGCCTTTGGTTTCCACTTTTAGATAGAGAGGGTCTTAATTTAAAGGCTCACCATCAGTTATTATATGAAAGTTGTGCAACTTTCACACATTTAAAAAAGGAACAATATACTTTTAGATGAGATAATTCGATATAACCTGAGTCTTCTTTCCAGAAGTTTCCTGATGATTTTCCAAGCCGATTACTTGCCAGAAGAGGGCCTATGGGAATAAAGTCTGGAAATGAGGCAAATGTCCCAGACTCCAACCAGTTAGATGAATTGCAAATCAGCTTATCTGCTGATTTCGCTGGCTTTAAAATTTGTACCATTAGTTTGAAGACGATTTTTGCTGTAAGTTCATCGCTAATGCAGTTCCAACTGAGTTCCGCAGTGTTTATGGCAGGCGTAGCTGGTGAAAACTGAATTATCTGGTTTTGCATTGGTATTCCTGCAAAAAAGAAAAAGTTCATCAGTATTACTATTATAAGAATGTGTTTTCTTCCCTGAACTTGCATGCTTGCTATATTAGTCACCCAACCTTGTATCACTCACTGAAAACATATTGGTCAGTGAGCTTTAAAATGCCAAAAATTAGTCACTGAAATGGATTCTTTGAGTCCGATCAAATCGATTATTGAGTTGGCGAACTGCACCTCTAATGAGCCCCCTTCCCTCCCCCTTTCTCCTTCCTTTTCTGCCTTCCTAGGGAGCTCTTCAGAAGTATCCCCTTTTTAATAGGGTGGCTAATTGTTCTTCAATGGGAACAAGTCAAATCAAATTTCTATTTTTGGAACTAGAACATAAACAAGTTCTAAAATCTCCTATACTGAGGAAGAAACTATAGTTATTATTGTCTAAGAACACAAGAAACCAGAACAGTAAATGAAAATAGAAAGAAATTGACAATCTTTTATACGAAAATCAGCAAAAAATTTATACTGCCATCTGCTCCTGTTATCACTGATCAATTTTATTCAGTAGATATACTTTAAACTGTGCTCACCATCACTGTCTATAATTCCATCATCAATAAGGTTTGGAATTTTAAACACCAGAGCAAATTGAGTGGCTGCTGCCGGCCAGAAAGCTACTTTCTTGATACCCACTTTCTCTGCAACTTCCAGAGCCCATCCCACGGTGGCATCGGCAATCAAACAGGTGATTCTATCACTTTCTGAACCATTAATTTGTTCAATAAGTGCCATCAGCTCACCCGGCATGACAGCAAAAATTGATTCTATCAAAAATTGATTTTATCTGTTTTCCGATATCACTTCTGTCGTCAGATGATTCTAATCCATCTGGGATTGAAACCATTTGTATGATTTCTTGTATATTGTCCGTCTCCGGTAATGCTTTGATAACTCGTTCATGAATGAACTCAGTGTTGACGAATGTAACCTTGCAGCCGTAGTTTACTAAATGGAGTGCAAATTCCATAAGAGGAATAACATGGCCCTGTGCCGGATATGGTATAAGCATAACATGAGGGCTTTCCATTGTTTTTCTTTGATTGATGATAAGAGAAGTGATTGTTTCCGCTGGCCGTAGTGTTTAATGGTGATACGAGTATGGTAGATGAGATAGAATTCGATAGGGTGATACTACATGTACACCTCATGCATTACACAATCATTTACACCCCCTCACATGTAGGGGGTCCACGATTATTTTATTATGTGTGGACCCCCTTCCATGTGAGGAGAGTGTAAATGATTGTGTAAAGAATTATGTACACATGACTTTATTCTTTTTTTTTGCTTGTCTTCACCAAGCCAGCAAAACAGGTAAATTGTTCTAAACTATATTTACAAAGGAATATCTTGAATATATATTCTATTTTTCATGTAGAACAAGGAAGGGTTTAGCCATTTTTGGCCGGCCTTAGGTGACTGATGTGACATTCATAATTAAAAATAGAATTATGTGATTCATTTAATTACGCATTTTATTTCATATAATCTAGTGTCACTTAAATTAACGTAGCAATACAAGTAGTGCTAAATATCATTACTTATATACATGTCATTTTGATTAGAAACGAAAAATAGGAATTGGAACTTGGAAGAAGCTAATGAGGTGTAAATTTGGGCCACTTCATTTTTCTTTAACTTTAACTTTAATTATCATTACTAAGTATTAATTATTAATTATTAATTTAATTTAATTGATGGATAACTAGTCAATCAGTTAGTTTTGCCTAGTAAGCATGGTGATTAGGAGATCAAAACTATATATATGTCATGTGATGCGCTTAATGCTATGTAGGCCGGCGATGAGAAACTCGAAGCTGAGGATACAACTACTATAAAAGGAAGATGTTTGATGGAGCAGTGTGAAAATTTGCAGTGGTCATGCAATTCCTAGATTGAAGTGAAGTTTGATATGGTTGGGAGCATTGGACACGTTGACAAGATGATTGTGAATAAAAATTTTGAACCAATAATGAGAGGAAAATATGGTGGCTATTTGTATTGGCCAATAGGAAAGTCAATTTCAGGTGGGGCTTCCGTGTTGGAGTCAGACCAAGGAAAGTCTTTTATTGTCGCTAAAGATTATGAAGTGGAAAAAATGGGTTATGTGGTAAGGGCAAGAAGAATGACGATCGGAGTTTAAAGATGTCATATTGTAGAGTTTTATATATAATGAATCCTTGTATTCTATTTATATTTATGAAAATTGATCAAGGAATAGTGACACCTACAATTAAAGCATTGATGAGTACAGAAAGAGAGGCGTGACAGAGCGAGAGAATTTTCAGAGTCAAAGGTGTTGGTGTGCGAGAGAAAAATTGAGGAAGAGTTAGAATAAAACGACGTGCATGCCTTCTAATTTTGTATGGGAAAAAGTTGATAAAATGAGGGAAAAAAATGTATATGATGTTTTCTTAGCTCACAGAGTCTTCTTTTCTTGTAGTCATTAGTGGTATGCCGAACTACGTTTAATTTGTCTTTATCTTCTTGGCTCATTTTCCGTCGTTGCGTCTGCCAGTTCCATCCTGATGGAGATATAGAAAGTAGTCGAAGTTGTAAGCTGGATTTTGACCGCTTTCTCTTGTACTTGTCACCCAATCTTTATGTTGTACCCAAAATAGGGGTGGGTCTATGGTTTTCTCCTTGGGTGCAACAAGTTGAAAGTGTTTGTTTTAAGTGGAAACCTGTGAAACCGTTAATAATAAAGAAAGTTTTTCAGACTGCAATGATAGATATTTTTGAAAATTCAAAGAGAACATTTGAATTCTGTAGACATTGCTTTTTATGGTTGTCTTATTTTGCTGAAATTACAATGAAGATTCTCACAAATAGAACAGAAAATCTTTAATCTTTAATCCATGACAAAAAATCATCAAAATTCTTGTGAGAACTCCCTCCTTCTCTAACACTATTCAGAATCTGTTCTTGAAGATCCAACACCCTTCCTTTAAATCCTTCATCACCCAAGACTCTTTCCAACTTATTCTTAATTTCTTCACGTCTGATGATTCCACTTTCATCTTTATTCAGTTCCAATCCAATCTTCCAATAATCACAAATGTAGCTCTGATTGAATATCTGATCTCCAAAATAAGGCCAACAAAGAAAAGGGATTCCATTACTTATGCCTTCAAGGGTAGAATTCCAACCACAATGGCTAATGAAACAAGCAATAGAAGGATGAGATAGGACTTTTTGCTGAGGAGCCCAGCTCACTATACACCCCCGACGATCCATTCTTTCTTTGAAGTCTGTTGAAGAAAGTATTTAATCAAATAACAACACATTTTCCTTCTTTAAAAGTTTTAGTAGAGATTATGAGAGCATCTCATTGCCACTCAATTATGAAAAATATGCGTGTGTGGTTTGTGGTGATGAAAATGAATTCATATGCACATGATGGGAGTGTTAGATACAAATTTTAGATTATGTATATATATATAGATTTCACTCTCTAAAAACTTAATCTTTTAAATCAGGTGGTCTAATGAAACCTGTTGGGTAAGCATTGTTGAGATCTTCAATTATGTTTTCCCGCACAACCCACAAGAATGGCATATTGGTGAGTTCAAGACCAAGAGCCAGTTCTTCAAACTGATTGCGGTCAAATACTGTGAAACTCCCAAATGCAACATAAACGACGGAGTGGGGTGGTTGTTGATCAAGCCATGCCAAACAACCTGTTCAACACAAAATTCAAATACTGTGAAACTAAAATCACTTGTCGCATCTTTCATGGGAAAACAATCATTACACAGAATAATTGCAGAGTATAACAATAATATTAACTAAAGAAAAACAAAACAGAAAATGAAATTGCAGGAATATATTAATGGCTAAAGCATAGAATGAATCTTCAAACCAAGGCCTGTGTACGAGACAATATCTTTGAAACAGATTCGCTCCCAGTCTCCCAAGATACAACAGAGGAACCTCCAAAAATCGAGCACGATATTTCTGCACTGGCGAATTCTATTTGCACTAGAACTATACTACCACGACTTTGACACGAAACAGAAAAATGCGCAATATGGAAGAAAAAATAATGGAAAATAAAGGCAAAATGTGGACCCGCCTCTGTTTTAAAAAGTATCTTTAAAACAATTTCGCTCATTGTCTCTCAAGATACATCGGATGAACCTGCAGAAATCGAGCACTGAATTTTCGCACCAACGAACTGTATTTGCACTACTATACTATTACAACTTTGACAGAAAATGGAAAAATGTGCCATATGGAAGGAAAAAATAATTGAAAATAATGCAAAACATGGAGCATCCTAAAGTTGTGGCAAGTCGCGCCCGCATATAAGTTCAAGGTTCGATATACAATTCGATTCAAGACTTGAACCCTTGCATGTATGTGGAAAGAACCTCTATACCATACATTTACGCCCTTCCAAAACGTAATCATATATAAAGTGGTCATTGTCTTTATCATTTTCCTATGTGGGACAACTCACACATAATTTTCCCTTCAACAAAAAACTATCTTCCAATGCATCAACTTTGAGCTTCAATTTCTCGTTCACCCGAGCATCAATTTTGGCAAGTAAATACATAATTTCGAAGTTCTCATGGAAGAAAACATAAATCGACTTTGATATTCCAAAATGAACGAACGGGGCCTATTCAAAATTATGCCAAAATAGCCCACTAGCCTTTTTTTTTCCACCAATAAATTCAGTCTGTGCATTATCAGGGTTAGTTGGAGTTGAAAAGGACAAAATTCAAACAAGTTTTTATTTTCCCGTTCTTTACAATTTAATATTTCAGATAAGGTATTTAACACAACCTGAGTCTTCTCGCCAGAAGTAGCCAGTCGATTTTCCAAGCCGGTTGCTTGACAAAAGAGGGCCGATGGGTAAAAAGTCTGGATATGAAGCAAATGTTCCCGACTCCAAACAACTTGATGAGTTGCAGATCAGCCTTTCTGCCAATTTTGTTGGCTCTATAATTTTTATGGAGAATTTGAAGAGAAGTTTTCGTTGCACTTCATCATGCATACAGTTCCAAAACAAATCAGATGTTTTTATCAAAGGCATTGTTGGCGAAAGTTGAATACTCTCCTTTCTCATGGGTTGTCCTGAAAAATTCAGCATTGTATTAGTATAAAAATAAGAAAAGGAAAAAGAAATCACAGGATCTCTTCAATGAAAGGAACAAGAAAATAATAAATCCATATCCAGAATGTGAGCCTATTTACATATGAACTATGTGGGTAGTCTATGAGAAATATCAAATATCAAAATGAAGTTGTGTGGTTAAGTTCCCATTTCAATGGTGGATCGTGTTCTATATGGTCAAGTCCCTTCTGTCAGCAGCAAAGCTTTTTTCTTTGGTGATGGTTCCAAGTTATCCCAACGCCTGCAAACGAAAGCCGGGGCCAAGTCCACGCTTTCCCCTCCGGCTTGAGATTTAGTTCTTTGAGTAAAATTTTAGAGAGAAACCATGTGGTAGAATATCTACAAAGGATGGAGGGATACGAGTTGTAAGATTCGTTAGTATTGGGAAAACGCGAGGTGAAATATGCTGAGTGGTCCATTTTGGACGAGGTACTGCATGGGGTCGTATCTTAAAAAATGTCGGTCCGGCCTTGACCATGGCAGTTCTGCTTATGCAATTGCCTCCCCAATGGCGACAGTTGTGTTTTTTGCAGATGGGCGATGGATCCATGGCTTTGTAAACTCAAACGGCTTGCTGGATATGGTTTGCAGATGACCATTTAGATCTCCTGCCGGTAGAAAGAGAACTGGAGAAGGAGTGCAGGAAAGAGAGAGTGTGAGGGAGAATGAAAGACAGAGAGATGGTGGCGATGGCTCCTGACCAGGCGAGCAGCTAATTAGGTTGTCGATTGCATTGGTTTTCCGCCAGTGAAGCGGCCAAACTCGTTGTGGTCCATAATTTGAATGGGCGGATGCTTGAATTGGTTACTAATTGTGGTCAGCTAAAAATCGCATCCCATCACGAAGATAACTATAATTCTATTTAAGACAAGGATTTAACAGGAAAAATGTAAATTCGAAAA